GATTTCCTCGTATCTTCAAGTAGAATAGCAAGATCTTGACCTGCAGTCACAACGCAATCAGAAGAAGGGGATACACTTAAGTTTTTACTCAAACCCGGTGCCGCAACGACGAATTCCCCCAAAATATCCCTTCTGTCATTTCTGCAAGAAACCAGGACATACTTACCAGACTTGTCGCAGTCGACATCAAAACCGTCGCAGTTCTTCACAACCATATCATCATTCGCAGCAGTTACCGAAGTCACATCAGGCAACGCAGCAGTCAACATCCCAGACACATCAGATGCAGAAACCACCACAGACTACACCTCTCTCACAGCACCTTCCTCCGGTCTTTCCATCTGCAACATTAGGAAAAGGGGTTTTTGGATGTGTTATGACAGTTGATGTTTCAGATACCGATTTCGAGACACATCTTGAAGAAACCACCAGTGCAGAGGGCATTCCCTTACCGCAAGTTTACGCTAACCTTGCTCAAGTCATTTCAGGACCCAATACTTGGTATCTCGACAGCTGTTGTGGTTGGCATATGTGCTCCGCTGAAACAAGCTTCATCACCAATCAGCGTCCACTTCGTTGTCCGATACCTGTCACAGTTGCAAACGGACAAAATATCATGGCCAGATCCATCGGAAGTGTAATGCTCGAGTCCGTTGACACGGGATATTCCTTACATGTTACCAACGTCCTTATCGTCGTCGGCCTTGGTTTTAATCTTCTCTCCACAGCTCAGCTCCTGGCACACAAGATTCGCACACAAGGCAATTGTGATACAATAGATCAAGAGTTATGGCACAGTCTGACAAACACTTACCTTGGTCGCGCCGCTACTCAAAATGGAGTATCCGTTCTTCAGTTCACGGCACAAGGCACCTCCGGCGATACTGATGACACCGATTATCAACAAGTTGATGTTGATTTCCATGCAACTACCGTACCGACAACTTCTCAAACCGCAGCTGCTGTTCTGACTGCTCTTGATACTTGGGAGTTTAACACCGCCGATGAAAGCGCCAACACTTGGCAAACGTTTTATACCACTCGTGCCGCTTTCCAAGGAACTCCAGCTCCACTTTTGGGAGAAATAAGTGGTCTTGTAGCTGATGAACCCGAAGTCGTCGAGGAAGCCGCGAAAGCAGAAGTCGCCGAGCAGCAAAACTGTCAAACATCTAGCTACCACTTACCTGTTTCGTGAAAGGGGAGATAGAAATGTCTCCAGCTCGTTCTCCTTTCATTGTTTCTTTGTTTTATACTAACGCTGATTTCTATCTGCGATCATCAGGACACAAAGCCACAGAGGACATTTGGCATCAACGGTTAGGACACCCATTGCAAGGGATTTTAAATAATTCAATCCGAGCAGCAGTTCTTGGTAAAAACTGTCTTCTCTTACCTGACGGCACGGAGATGAAACCACAGTCTCGCCCAACGGTCTGCACCACGTGTCCGATCGCCAATCTTACCCACGACCCGTTTCCGAGTCATTTTCGTGGCTCAATTCGTTATCGACTGATGCAGAAAGTTTACAGCGATATTCCCAACTTACCTGAAGCAGGACCTAAAGGGGAGCAGTATGTGATTACCTTTATCAAAGCATCTACTCGCTACGTTTGGACAGCCAACCTTCCTGCTCGTTATCTCGCCCATTCGGTCTTCGTCGCATGGCTCGCTGTTGCTGAACGAGAGTCTGGAGCGAAACTGCAAGAATTTCATAGTGACGGCGCAGGGGAGTATACGAGCAACACTTTCACAGACTACCTCCAAACCCTCGGCATCAAAAGGAAGCAGTCTCTGCCACATGCACACCAACAGATGGGGGAAGCAGAATGGATGAATCGAACTCAGCACGAGAAGATGCGTGCTCTGCTGACGTAGGCAGCTCTTCCTCCTCGTTTTTGGCCATATGCGATGGACCACGCCGTGTTGTTATCAACGTCACAGCCCAAATTTTCTTCTCCACACCTGCAGTGGACACGTACAGTGGGAAGTACAAAACTCTTACGCGTTTTTGGGTGTGTCGTGCAGTATCGACCTCCAACTGCAGCACTTGGCAAATTTTCAGAGCGAGCAAAATGGGGGGTACACCTTGGCATCGAAAAACAGTATCGCGCATGGAAGATTTTGGATCTTCGTTCAAACAAAATCGTCCCTTAACGTGATTGTCTTTTCTATGAGCGACTCACCTTGCCCGTCTTTCGTGCCCACCAGGCAGCAGCTGCCAACCCCGCCAGGCTGTTCGACGGCTCGCGTGCATTTGCAACTAACGAAGCAGAAGCTGATGTATATGACGAGGCGGTTTCTGAAGCCTCCGAAGTTGTCGCAACGGATATTCCCGAACTTGTCACGTCGTCTGGCATCCCGGAGTTTATTCCCCTCGTTGATGCTGACCCGGATGATGTTCACGAAGTACACCTCAGTTACGAACGAGATCGTCAACAGCAGCCGATGCCAGTCGTCTCCGACGAAGCAGTCTGTGTTACACCTGACGAAATTGGGGGGGAAGAAGGTTCAGAAGAAAATTTCTCAGGTGCAAACGGAGAACGTCCGCATTTTACAGAAATTGGTTTACATGTCCTTGGATTCGCAGTCGCAGTACAGTACAACGATAGTAAAATACCTGAACCGAAAACAGTTCGAAAAGCTCTTACGAGTCCTCACTGAGAAAAATGGCGCGAAGCCATGGAGCGAGAGCTAGCAGCTCTTAAGAGTCGTGGTACATGGGAGCTGATACCGATATCAGAGGTAAAGAGAAGAAAAGTTCTTACCGGCAAGTGGGTCTTCCGTGTCAAGACTAATGCAGATGGATCGTTTGAGAAATTCAAGGCGCGATGGGTCATCCGCGGGTTTGAGCAAACTTTCGGTCTTGACTACGAACTCACATCTGCTCCCATCGGTCGACATACGAGTGTTCGAATTCTACTCTGTGTCGTCGCCTGCCACAATCTACAATTTCGCCAAATCGATGTGGCGAATGCTTTTCTCTACGCACCCGTCGACGCGCTCATTTTGGTAGAGTACCCACACTCGTACAATACACTGAGTGAATGCCGTCTCAGAAAATCGCTCTACGGCATTAAGCAGGCACCCCGGTTCTGGCAGCAGTATCTACATTCACAGCTTCTCACTGCTGGCTTTCGTCAACTGCCGCATGATCAGGGGATGTATCTTCTAACTGCTGGAAGCAACTACATTCTACTCGTCGCTTACGTCGACGACATTCTCTACGTCAGTACGACTGAATCATTCGCCAACACCTTCATACTGAAACTACAAGAAAACTTACAGCTCACCGTCTCCGAATCAGTCTAACAGTTTCTCGGGCTGAACATTACCTACTCACCTACGTCTATTCATCTAGATGCCTCGAAGTATGCAGCTACGCTCGCTTCCCGCTTCAGCCTCACCCCTACCACAGTCATTACACGGTACCGTTCCCTATCGACAGATCACAAACCGAATACTACACCACTGAATCTAACTGATTTACAGACTTATCAACAGCAGTTAGGCTGTCTTCTCTTCACCGCCGTTACTTGTCGTCTGGATCTAACTGATGCGGCTAGTCAACTCGCCTAATATCCACGCCGTCCTGAAGGGGAGCATCAACTTGATCTCCTACGCGCGCTTCAATACTTCATATTGACTCCTGACATCGGTTTGGTCTACAACGTCATCGGCTGTAAAACACTATATCTAAATGGTTTCGTTGACGCCGATCACGCTGCCGACACTACTTATCGATGCTCGCGTACTAGATTTATCTACCGCCTTGAACCTATCGGGCCTATTTCTCGGAATTCGACGAGGCAGGAGATGATTGCTCTCTCCTCTGCTGAAGCTGAATTTATCGCTGTCTGCACAGCAAGACGCGAAGGACTTTACCTGCAGGAGCTCTTGGAAGAAGCAAAATTGACGACGAGTACTCAGTTTACTTTGCAGTGCGATAACCAGAGTGCAATTCGCATCGCGCACCAACCCGGCTTCGTCAACAGGACGAAACACATTTCACTGCGCTACTTTTTCGTCAAGGATGAAGTTGAGAAGGGGAGGATACGGTTGGTCTACTGTTCGACCAACGAAATGGCTGCAGATTTCCTCACAAAGAAACTGACACGACAGAAGTTTCAGTACTGTAATGAGCTTTGCGGGATCTTCAAGAAGTGACACTATCGGACTTCTAGAAATGAGTGTTGTGATATGATTCATACTTAGCATTTATGTAAGTCGATTATCGATAGATAGTGTCGAATCCTACAGTAGAAGAGAAGTCCGTAGAATGACAGCAAATAGCGCTCGTCATGAGGACAGTCGTTCAGTCACGCGAACAGTCGCGTCTCTTCAGTGTCATTTAGGGCGCATAGCGCGATATTGTCGAACAGGTACATTAGCGAACAGGTACTTCTGTTAGGTATAAAAATAGCATGTCTTCATTGTTTAGTTAACTTGCTCTTCAGTAAATTCTGGTCAACACTTACAAGTTCTAAGACTTCCGCTGTCTTACTAGTCTACCATTCCAGTAAGCTCCTAGGCTAACACTTGAGGTTTTCCAAGTGTTCGTGTTTGCAGGTTCTATACTTAGACTCCTGCACCACCTATCAAATTATTACAGTCATCGTGCTCGGGGCAACTCTGTTGTTATCGCGCACCCCATCAATCTCTGTTGCAGCATTGACGCATATATAAAATCATTTCGTAGCACTCACAATCGTATCATACATACATGTTTATCGTGCACCCCATCAATCTCTGCTGCAACACTACTAATGCCTACATGCACTCGATTCCTGGCATTTGCAATCCTACAGGATGTTTAATTGCACATAAAATTTTGTTGAAATGTGTCATGCGGTCTGATTGTTCCATCTGCCGTACTTATCGACGCGATGGAGCACTTTGGACATTTGGATTCATATTTTGGAGTTGCACCAAAACAGTTAACTAAAATCTTTTTAAAAAAAATCTGTTCACATCTGTTATGAATGAACAAGCAGAGTAGCACGGAACTGAATAACGAAGTGTTCAATCACTGAATGACGATACAGGAAATGGCAAGCCAAGATATAGGAACACCAAAGCTAGTCTAACCATGCGATGGTAAGGTTCGGGAAAGAGATCGAAGGGTCTCGAAGTGACGAAGCGAAGAGAACTCCCGAAGGTCGAACTGGAAGGTCAGGAGAAGCCGAGGCGGTTCTGTCATAAGGTCTGGAACAGTCCCGAGGCTTCGGGTGTGTTCGAGCGTACGCGATAGTAGTACCGCTCGGTAAGGAATGGAAAATTCCTTACACCACCCCCCCCCTTAGCGAAGGTGATCAATATCAGCCACGTGCTTGCGGGGCCAAATAATTCGCAAGTATCGAAGGTGACTGTATCTGGTCCGAGGGCACCCACGTGTCGTCCTGACTGGTACGATTGGTCCATCGTATCAGAAAATCAACGTGTCATCCTTGGCCGTCGATACGAATCCGATGGCTCAAAATCTTTGAAGACTCGATGGTCATCTCGGCTGGTGGCCGTACATCTGGGACCAATCGCTGTCGAGCGATGTCCGACGTGTCAGGAACGAAGGGTCGCAACAGGCTCACGTGGAACTTGTTGTGAATACGCCAGTCATCAGGTAGGCGTAACTGGGTGGTCACCGGCGTCACCATCTTCATGATCTTGAATGGGCCACAGAAACGTGGTCGTAATTTCGTCGGTAGTGGCAGTCGTAAATTCTTGGTGTCCAACAGGACTAGTTGCCCTGCTGCCATTGTAATATCCCGTCGATGTAAATCCGCATACCGTCGGGCAGTAGCGTTCACTTTGCAAATAAGTTTGAAAGCTTTGTCTCGAGCAGTCTGTAATTCTTCGACGAACTGCCGCGATTGTGGTACTTGACTCTCAACGTTGGTGGAGACTGGTACTCTAGGGTCCATCCCGTAATTGAGATAAAATGGGGAGTGATTAGTCGTAGCCGAGGGTGCGTTGTTGTAGGAAAATTCCAACATGGGAAGCACGTCCTCCCATTTTTTCCGGTCGGGGCAGTTTGTCCGAATCAGCTGCTCTATCGTTTGATTTGTCCTTTCAGTCTGGCCGTCCGTTTGGGGATGATAAGCGGATGAGATTTGCTGACGCGTGCCGTATCGACCCCATGTGTCCAGCCAGAATTTTGACGTGAACTTCGGGTCTCGATCGCTAATGATTGCTGCTGGTATCCCGTGTAGGCGAACAACAGTCGAGATGAACAGGCGCGCAGTTTCTTCGGCTGTGATGGTTGTACGACATGGTGTGAAATGCGCGATTTTCGTCAATCGGTCGACGACAACCAGAACTACGTCGTTTCTGCAGGGTCCGGCCAGTAGACCTGTAACGAAATCCATCGTCACGTGTTGCCATGGGCGTTGAGGTGGCTCGAGGGGCTGCAACAGTCCTGTAGGTCGCTGGTGTGATGACTTGATTCGCTGGCAGATCGGGCAAGCAGCCACGTAACACTGCACGTCCGTCACCATATCTGGCCAGCAATCAAACCGCTGCAACGTCTTCAAAGTTTTATCAACCCCGAAATGTCCCGATAAATTCGAATCGTGGACTTCTTGAATTAGTCATTCGCGACGAAGACGATAACTTGGGACCCAAATTCGATCTGTCCCACTTCATAAATAATAGACGCCTTTCCATGTAGTGATTGGGAGATGGCCGTCATTTACGAAGAAAGGGTCAGTCGAATACCTGTGGGTAAATAGTCCACTTAGTAGCGGGTTGCTCTGGGTGACTAGTACTGCTGCGAGTTGGGCAGATGGTCTGGAGAGGGCTTCGGCAATATTGTTGGCGCCCTTTTTATACATGATCTTGTACGTGAAGTTGGACTCCAGATAGTCCAGCCAGCGTATCTGCCGCGGGTTGAGATTCGGCTGTGCCCTCAGGTACTGTAGAGATTTGTGATTGGTTCGCAGCGTCACGTCTGCTCCAGTCAGGTAGCACCTCCAGATTTTGAACGCGTGGACAATCGCCAGCATCTCCTTGTCGTGTACCGGGTAGTTGCGCTCAGCAGATTGCATTTTCCGAGACTCGTATGCGATTGGTTGAAGACCATTGCCAAAATCTTGCATGAGCACTGCTCTGATGACGATGTCACTTGCGTCGGTGATGACTTCGAAGGGCCGTTCCGGGTCAGCGATGCGAAGTACTGGTGGTGACATTAAAAGAGTTTTTAATGCCTCGAACGCAGCTTGCTGCTTCTCCCCCCACTAGTAAAAAGTCCCCTTCTGCAATAGGTCGGTTAGAGGTCCAGTTAACCCCGCTATTTAGGGTATAAACCGCCGCACGTAATTCACAAAACCCAAAAATGATTGCAGCTGCTGCAGATTTGTTGGCGGATTCCACTCCTGAATAGCCCGTAGGTTTTTCGGGTCTATTTGAATCCCCTCCGTGGAGATCACGTGCCCCAGGAACTCCAGTTCTTGTTTTAAAAACTCGCACTTGGAGCCCTTGGTGATGAGACGATGCTGCTGCAGCCGATGAAAAACCGCTTCCAGGTCCTTTAAATGTTGCTCTCGGATCTTGCTGTAGATCAGGATGTCATCGAGGTAAATGATCACACATTTGTCGAGTAGATCGCGGAACACCCCGTTCATGGTGAGTTGGAACATCGAGGGGGCGTTCGTTAATCCAAATGGCATCACCGTGTATTCGTAACTTCCGTAGCGAGTACGGAACGCAGTCTTGTGACAGTCGTCCGCGAACACCCAAATTTGATGGTAACCGCCGCGAAGATCTATCCTCGAAAAATAGCGAGCTCCGTGAAGGTTGTCGATCAGTTCATCCGTGCGTGGTATTGGGTAGCGTGATTTTATCGTTACCCGATTAAGGGCTCGGTGAACAGGATCGGTGCTGCGAACAGAGATGTGCTCGGCCGAATAAACCCCTTTGCCAGCAGGTAGTCCAGCTGGTTTCACAATTTGTGTAGCTCCAGCTGAGTCAGGCACCATTGCGTGCGTACAGTAGGCTGCGCGCCGGGCTCCAGCTCGATCTTGTTGTCCTAGGGTCGTTCGGGTGGCAGTCCACTTGGCAAATCGTCCGGGAAAATCTCAGGATATTCCTGAATGATTTTCGCCAAGTCATCCGGGACCGAAGCGCAGAGTTTGTTGATGTCGGTCGTCGCGTTCTGTTCCGTCGATTCAGTTAGATGGACGGCGTATAAATCTGCTCTATTCTTGACCGCTCGATTGAGGCACACCAGGTTGACTCGTGTCGAGGTTGTCTCTACTTCCGGCCACGTAGGTAATTTTCGCCAGCCTTTTTCGCACTTCACTATGCACTCGCCTGTCGTCCAATCGATCTGCGGGTTGAATCTTAGCAGCCAATCGCATCCCAATAGCACATCGTAGCCGTCGAGTGTTGTCGCCAGCATCGGCACGCTGAAACCGAAATCTTCGCCGCACTTCATTCGAACGACATGTTCTTTGTCGCGTATCGCCAGTGGGGTGCCATCCACCAATCGCGCGTCGATTTTGGGCAGACACCTCTCCAGCAACAAGTGTAGTCGTCGTGCTGTTTCTCGATTTATCAGGCTATGACTCGCACCTCCGTCGATGAATATTTTTATTTTTCTTCCGTGGAGTCGTCCTTCCGCCAGCACAGGGTGGTCCACTGGGTCATCCCCCTTATTCAACCGAGAGCGGTTGATAACGTGTATCGGAACCACTACTCTGTGGGGATGGTGTTTTTAGGGCGATGAGGCAGGGTCAGTAGGGGGCTCGACCGCTACTGACGATTGGCGTTTCCCGACCTGCCTTCGTTGTTCTTCTTTATCTGCTTCTTTCGGGGGCAATCGTGAGATTGGTGACCCGGCTGGTGGCAGTTGAAACATTGTCCCTAGCGAAAACCTTCCATGTGCTCCCTTGCCACTACGCCGTGAATCGTGGGCCGTGGATCCTGGCCACGAAAACGATTCCCCTCCCGGGAACCCGCTCTCGCATACGTCCGATGTGCGTCGAAGTTGTCTGCGATCCGGACTGCTTCGTGAACGTCGCCGGTAGTCGCAGTCGGACCTCGCATTTAATGTCCTGCTTCAAGCCCCAAACGAATCGAGCTTTCCTCTCGGAGTCATGCATGTCGGTGATTTGATCGCATAACGCCATAAAGACCGAAGCGTAATCCTGGACAAAACTCCACTGGCGCCAGTTGTCCAGCTTCGTGCATGCGTTGTCCGAGGCGGATATTGGCTCGAAACGTTCACGCAGAGCTGTACCCCACGCCTTCCACATGCGGATCTTGGTCGATCCAAAAATCGCGGTTGACCCTTGGGCAGCAGACCCAAAGTTTCCGAAAAACCCCTGTGTGTCGCCTGCCGAAAACTCCCCCTCCTGTAGAGTATATCGCCACCAATCTAGCGCAGGTCCCCGCAGTAGTGATACAGCCAGCCGAATTTTTAAATCGTCAGTGATGATCCCAGCAGCATTAAAATAAAGTTCCGCCGAAAATAACCAGCCCGTAACAGTAGTATTTTTATCTGTGGGGTTGAACGGGGGCGGCATTGTCAGTTTGATCGTCGCTGTCGTCACGATCGGCATAAACGCCGGTGCGGCTACAGTAGCGGCTGCTTCTGACCGAGCGGCTGCTGCTGTCGCTGCTACTGCTGCTTCGGCTGCTGCTCGTGCTGCCACGTCAGCTGCTGCGGCGGCTTCACTGTCCTTGCGCTCCTGTGACACCTCACGTGCGATTTCGTCCAAAACGGTTTTGAAACGTCCGGTGCTTGCGACCTCCTCTTGGGCGGCAGTTTTCTGACGCGAATCCTCTCGCGCTTGGCGTAATTCGGCAACTTCTGCACGAAGTCGCTCGTTGTCCTCCAGTACTGTAGCCATGCGTGTGTTCATGGTGTTGAACTGCTCCCGAAGCTCGTTGAACTGAGCTTGGTCCATTTGGCGAATGCTCCGCCGGGGTAGGGGGAATTCCGTAGTGTGCCTGTACTCAGATAAGCGCAAACGCTATTGTAGTTGGGCGAATTAATCAGTCTAATTCGCGAGCAACCGCTTTGCAGCTTACGTAAGGGACTTACCCCCCCCTCCCCCCAAAAAAAAATCAACTCACGAAAACGGGTGAGCGATGAATGTGGTTCTGAATACCATGTGTTATGAAGGAACAAGCAGAGTAGCGCGGAAATGAATAACGAAGTGTTCAATCACTGAATGACGATACAGGGAATGGCAAGCCAAGATATAGGAACACCAGAGCTAGTCCAACCATGCGATGGTAAGGTTCGGGAAAGAGATCGAAGGGTCTCGAAGTGACGAAGCGAGGCCCGGAGAACTCCCGACGGTCGAACTGGAAGGTCTGGAGAAGCCAAGGCGGTTCTGTCAGAGGAACAGTCCCGAGGCTTCGGATGTGTTCGAGCGTACGCGATAGCAGTACCGCTCGGCAAGGAATGGAAATTTCCTTACAATATCAATGCTCCGAAATGTGAAACCGAATATATAGGGTTGCTACGCAACCCAAAAAAATCCAAATAAACGTAGCCCCCAAATTTGGACTACAATCCCGAAACGCACCTGGGCGCGTATATTTGGGGAATACGGTACTAGCTTTCCCATTCGCCGCAGTTGCGGAATCTGGTTACACGTTTGAGCGAACCTCGCGAGCCTGGCGAAGAAGAGGCAGTCTTCAACCATCGACATCATCTATGCGAGCTCGTCGTCGCCATCCCTCGTTGTAAGCACAATGGGGAAGGTTGATGCCGGATGTCAAGTTGATGAGCTAGTTTGGTTTCGTTGATTTTAATAGTCACCAGCTCAGCAGCAAGTCGTTCCCATCCCATCGCGAATAATTTCTGTCCGCCCATTCCATTGGCTACGGATAAGGTGGTTGTTGTGGTCACGACACGTGCGGCACGTGGGGAAAGTTGATTGTTTGTGAACATCGCCCGTGCGTGCACTCTGCAGTAAGCCGCTTCCCCGATGGTTCGTTGCTCGGAATGAAATCAGATCCACCCCCTTAGTATCCCATTATGGACGTCACATGATGTCATTCTAACATCCCGCCATTATTGAGCCAAACAGCCCCTGCTGGGGTTCTACCCTAGTTGACTCGGAGACAATTCCACCAAAGTTCCTTCACTGTGCCACTGTGCCTACTACTACCGTGTGCATCAGTCGCCGTTCCTTCAAAGTTGCGCACTGGCCCGATCACAGCAGATGCCATGACTCATGAAAAAGGGGGTCCAGAGTCCAGACACTCTCACCGGCCTTACAGCGGCCTAAGTGCCTATGAGCCACCGTGGTTCAGGCCAAGTCATCTGGCTAATGTGTGACGACGACATCCAGATACCTCAGCTTCAAGTTGCGGATTGCGCTGAAATTCTCCCCAGCTCGCTTGCTCCTCGGGTTCCGAAGGGAAGGAGAGGTTTTCTACCTGGAGGGTCCACATGCACTGCACCATCCCGTCACGTGACGCCGCCGGTGTCATTGGCAGGGAGTGCCAGGTTACAAGTTGAAACTCTGCTTCAAGCAAGGAGGATTCTCATGTATCTGGCCGATGTGTCAGCAGCACTACTAGAAGCACTATCCCAAAATTTGGGAGCAGAAAGTACAGGCTACACACCAAGGTACAGAGTAGGTACGTCAGTCACTGAGTAGCCTTGGTATAAAGACCGACTATAGGCCATATTTTTTTGTAGTAGCACGTGCAGTACCAACTGAAGCAGCTCAGGTTGAAAATTCAAGCTGGCAGGCCTTCCGAAGGTTTGGTCAGACTCGTAATCTGCTGGTCACCTGGGCTGCTGGGCTGACAGGCAATCCTGAAAGGTGCCTGAATGACTGTTCAGGGCGTCAAGTTCAAGTTGTGGGTCAGTTTTGGGCTCTCATTTTTCCATCAAGTTGACGTTGTGCATGCATTGAGAGTGGTTTTCGGCCATGCCAACTTGCCAAGCAGTGCTTGCCAGAAGCCTCAAGCAGGAAGGTGTACAAGCCTTCAAGGCCACACTGAACAGCCACATGCGGTGGTTCCAAAATCCAGTTCCCGAGCCCCGTGCTTGTACTGTTACTGCTACTACTACTCGTAGTAGGCTACTACCCATAACGAGTAGGCTACTCAGCCCATCACCCTCGCTCGCTCCTCTGTTAAGCACTCCCATCCCGGCACAAGCTGCTGTTAGCTACAAGTAAAAGATCGCGCCCCCCGAGCAAACTTCCCACCCACGAGGTGATGTTTGATCGAGACTTCTAAGACAACTCCGAGCCAGAGAATCGGAAGAGAAGAATCACTACCTCCCGGAGGCGTCAAGTCACTCCAGAAATTTGTGTGTCAAGTCTATGCGGATGTGATTGCGACGATTTTCGAAGCCCCGCCTCAAGAATCGACTCGCTTGGATTCCGAGAATGGTGGCGAAATCCAGACACATGGGCCACCTCTGGACTGCGGAGGTAGGGACGCCTGTTGCGCTATCCCCTTGCTTATTTCTTCCCTTTCAAAAGTCCCGTCTTGCTTCTTTCCCCCCTTCTTCTATCTCCCCTTCCTGTTTTTCACCTTCGCTTCATTCTCCCCTTGTTTCTTTCTCTATTCAGTCCCTTTCCCCCGCTCTCTCCTTGCGTCTTCTCCCTCGGGTTCTTGCTGCATGTGGAGCACAGCATAAGACCTCCAACTTCATCCTGCGTAGCTCCGCAATGTCTTTTGTGTCGCCTCAAAAGTTACCCCCTCTCAACTTGATCCCAATATTCCCCGAATCTCAGCGCTCTTCACCATCCCCCTTGATCTCAGGACGACTGTATCTTGCTGCTTCAATGTAGTGGCACCCGGCACCACCAGGCACCACCAGGCAGTGGCTTTGTTCCATCCGTCTCTGATTCCTTCTCTTATGTCTCTACCCCGTACCCAATCTGAGGAGGGCAGTACCTTGCTAATGCACGTGGTGGCACACGAGGCTTTGTTCCCTCCCTCTCTGATTCCTTCTCTTCTTGTTTCACTCAATACCCATCCCATGCAGCGCATGGCACACAACAGTGGCGAGCCATTGCCATGGCAGGGCGGGTCAATATCTTCCTTTCATCTTCCCATTCACCCCCTCTTGTCAACTCAACGCCCTGTAAACTCCATGTCAATGCCATGTCAACGCCATGTCAACGCCCTGTCAACGCCCTGTCAACGCCTGTCAACACCTGTCAATGCCTGCCAACGCCTGTCAACGCCCTCAAGAGGACCGCACCCTTCAACTGCCCGTGGCGGCGCATTTTGGCTTTCCTGAAGCAAACTTCCCACGTGCTCATTCTGCAGTTCCCATGCCAGGAGAACCAGAATCGGCTGCTGCTCGCGGCTCAAGAGCTCGTGCTTCCGCCTCTCCCCTCCGTAATTCCCCTTCCACGAGGATCGCACCCTACTGCTCCACGTGGCAGCGCACGGCACATGGGAGTGGCTTTATGTTCCCTCTCTCAACTCCATGCTGTGTGATCCCAATGCTCTGAATACCCCTTTCAGGAAGATCGCACTTTGCTGCTCCATGTGGCAACGCACGGCACGAGGCAGTGGCGGGCCATTGCCAGGGGGGGGCTGCTGCCAGGGCGAGACAGCAAGGCATGCTGCAACCGATTCATCGTGTTGAAAAGGTAAGCGCAATTCAAGTTTTTCTTTGTGCTTCGAAGGATCTATTGTGCTGAGCCTAACTGGCAGCCCTCGTTGCCTGTGCTTATTTTCCCGTGCATCAATGCAGGAAATTCTACAAACACCAAAGGCAAAGCTTTCCGTCTGAACCAGCTACGCAGGTGATTATTGGCGCTACTGCTTACCGATGTTATCATCCGACTGCGTTCCTCACCCCCTCACTCACCCCCTCACTCACCCCCTCACTCACCCCCTCACTCACCCCCTCACTCACCCCCTCACTCACCCCCTCACTCACCCCCTCATTCACCCCCACTCACCCCTCACTCACCCCCTTGCTCACCCTCTGCTTGTTGCAATGTTGGGTGGATATTTATTTTTCCCACTCAGCTCATCTCCCCACCGTGCTCTAACCTGGAGACATCTCAAAACTGTTCTACCCCCTTTCGATTTCTGCTCGTTTTCTTCATCCATGGCAGGCAGAATGCACGAATACACACATCACTTTGACTAGGGCGGACTTTGTTGAAGCTGAAACATTTCCTTCAGATCACTGTGTTGAGACGCCGGGCGGCGCACACCGTGTGGAGGCCAATGATCACATGCACTATGGTGACTTGAGTGACACCATCGCATGTGGTGGCATGCAGCCTGTTGGGCTACCATGCCTGCTGCCACAGAACGGCATGCATTGTGATGAGGTGAATGGTGGAATGCATAACAGCGACGCGAGTGGCATCATAACGAGTGACGTCATCATCAGTGGTGGCATGCAGGCAGTGGGGGCGCCATGCCGGCTGCCTCAGAGCGGCATGCCTCCATTCCTCGTGACGTCTCACTCCCTCTCATCGTGCCTCGTGCCATCACACTCTTTCCCACACTCCCGCACACCACACTCCCACCGACCACACGTCCTCCCATCGTCACTCTCCCTCCCGTCGCGCCTCTTTCCACCATACGAGCTACCAAACTCATCAAAGGCGTGTGGCGCTCGAAATGCGCCTCATGCACCCCACTCTCTGCCCCCTCATATGTTGGGGTACATCCCAAGAAAGGCTGGACGTTTGGAGCAATTACCCCTTCGTATGTGGGGGTACATCCCAGGAAAGGCTGGAGAAGCAGAGGCGCATGGCTCTCAGCTCAGCGACTTCCTTCGTGCCTCATGCCAACATGCATCCCCACCTACATCCCCACATGCATCTCCCGTTCGTCATCAAATCAGACCACTTGCAAAAGCTGGAAGCCAACATTCATCCCGACTCAGCCCACTTGCGCAAGCTGGAAACATCCTATGCCAGTCAACGGAGGTTAATGCCCGTCTCTCTTCTATGCAGCTCGTAGCGTTGCCACCACCCATGCCAATTTCGGTGTTTCAGCATGAAGTCACGTCCTTGTCTTCACAACCAACAACAGGAGCAGCAGCAGCAGCAGCAGCAGCAGCAGCATTAGCAGCAGCAGCAGCAGCAGCAGCAGCAGCAGCAGCAGCAGCAGCAGCAGAAGCACTACCACCACCACCAGCGGCAGCACCAGCAGCAGCACCAGAAGCAGCACCAGCAGCAGCGGCAGCAGCAGCAGCACCAGATCAAGCACCAGCAGCAGCAGGACCAGCAGCAGGAGTGCCAGGCTGCTGTGTTACAGCAGCCTGTGGGTCTCACATCAATGGTCACCT